GAATCCAGTCGGAGTTATATTAAAAATTGTCCTGGCTATTCCAAGCTCTATCATTGCACTCAGCGGGTGTTGCAGTGAAATAAAAAATAAAAATAAAAAAAGTGAAATAAAAAGCACCCATCCATAAAAAAAAGTGTCTCACACGGCTCCGGGGGGTGAACAAAGGCCTCCTGTAGTGAATCGATGCATTTTTGTAAGACAACTATCCATATTCAAAATGTAATAATCACTTTAATGTAGCTTGCGCCAACAGTCCTACATGGAAGCAGCTCCGGGGGAATGACGTATGAGGTCAGCGCTGCGCATGCGCCGGTGAGTCTCGTGAAAACCAACGTTTGTTATCAGGAGCAAAGGAAGCAAAGTTTCCTTACTTTAGCAAAGGAAAACCAGTCTCCTCTTGGCTTATATCCAAATCCTCTGACATTCTTCTTTACAAATCCTTGTTTTGTACTTCTAATTAGTGACCGTTGTTTTGTTTTGATCTCTCCGCTGTGCTTCCGCATTCGTCACTTCTGAGCGGCGCATGCACAAAGCCGACCTCATACGTCATCCGCTCATAACTGCTTCCATGTACAACAGTGAGCAAGCTAGATTAAAGTGATTATTATGTTTTGAATATGGATATTTTTCTTACAAAAACGTATTGATTCGCTACAGGAGGCCTTTGTTCACCCCCCGGAGCCGTGTGAGACACTTTTTTTTATGGATGGGTGCTTTTTATTTCACTTTTTTTATTTTTATTTTTTATTTCACTGCAACACCCGCTGAGTGCAATGATAGAGCTTGGAATAGCCAGGACAATTTTTTATCTAACTCCGACTGGATTCGTCTGAAAGAAGAAAGTCATATACACCTAGGATGCCTCGGGGGTGAGTAAAACACAGCCTAATTTTCATTTTTGGGTGAACTAACCCTTTAATGAGTCATTCAGCCGATTCGCTCAACAACCATGTCACTGAATCATTAATTCAACTGATTCTTTCAACAACACTGAATCAATTAGAAATGAAACAAGGCTTTGTGTGAGTCAGTGCGTCATTCATTCAACCAATTCACTCAACAACACTGAATAATTCAGCATCGAAACAAGGCTGTGTTCCAGGTTTTTTTTTATGCCCTTCCCTCGCTAACTTTCCTCTGTCTCGTCGACTCGGATGTACGTCCTTGATTACATTGCACAAGTGGTTTCTATTAAGAATTTGTTTGATACAGCATTCTATAAGTATAAAGGTGTGCTTGGGCTGTTTTAAATATTTTTTTAAAGTAATTTAATATATTATAGAGTTGTTTGGGGTAGGGATAAATTAAACACAATCTTTGGTGACGTCACAATCGTGCTGCATTGTGGTCTATGGAGCAGCCTGAAGTGTACATATGAAGTAAACTTGCTGCCTCGGTCAAAATCGAGGGCTCAAGGGTCTGTCCATGTAAACTTCCCTCGTCCACTTCACGAAGTGGAACGCACTTCAAAATGGCATTGAGGATTCCCCCATTGAGGGGAAGTACTTAGGGAAGTTTGCAAGTGTCATTAACATTTAGTCATTTAGCAGACACTTTTATCCAAAGCGACTTACAAATGAGGACAATAGTTCAACGTTCATATACACTGTATATATATATATATATATATATACAGTATATATACACACATTCATACATATATATACATATATATAAGCAGTGTGTGTCTAAAAGTGAAGTGTAATGCAGCCCAAGACTCTTAATGAGTGAGTCATTGAATCATTCGCAAGTGTCATTAACATTTAGTCATTTAGCAGACACTTTTATCCAAAGCGACTTACAAATGAGGACAATAGTTCAACGTTCATATACACTGTATATATATATATATATATATATATACAGTATATATACACACATTCATACATATATATACATATATATAAGCAGTGTGTGTCTAAAAGTGAAGTGTAATGCAGCCCAAGACTCTTAATGAGTGAGTCATTGAATCATTCATTCAGCCAATTCGCTCAATATCACTGAATCAACAAAACAAGTGTCTTTATAAGTGAGTCACTGAATAATTCAATCAAATGATTCTTTCAATAACACTGAATCATTCAGAAACGAGACAAGTGGCTTTATGAGTGAGTCACTGAATTATTCATTCAGCCGATTCTTTCAACAACACTGAATCATTTAGAAATGAAACATGTGTCTTTATGAGTGAGTTACTGAATCATTCATTCAACTGATTCTTTCAATAACACTGAATCATTCAGAAACTAGACAAGTGGCTTTATGAGTGAGTCATTGAATCATTAATTCAGCCAATTCGCTCAATAACACTGAATCAACAAAGCAAGTGTCTTTATAAGTGAGTCACTGAGTCATTCATTCAACTGATTCACTCAACAACATTGAATTATTCAGAAAAGAAATATGTGGCTTTACGAGTGAGTGATTGAATTATTCATTCAAACGATTCACTCAACAACACTGAATCATTCAGTAACGAAACAAGTGTCTTTACGAGCGAGTCATTAAATCATTCATTCAGCTGAATCATTCAAAAACGTGGATTCATTCAGGAACAAAACAATGTGTGTTGCGAACTGTTCTGCTCTGCTTTTGTTTGGAACTACAGTATTTTCGTTAATAGAACAAAAACATACAACAACTTGTAACATTGAGTCTAAAATGTAAGTTACTAAATATTAAATTCTTGTTTACTGAACTGTACTATAAAAGCAATATTATTCTCAAAATCTTGCTGTAGTGTAAATAGCATTTACCTCTTTTTTTACAATTGTAAACAGTTTTTTTTTTATATAATTAGCTGTATTATCAAATTATTTAAGTTTGGCTAGTTAGCATGAACAAGTTAGCCCAAAAATGCCATAACTCTCATTCAGAAAATTGTGAATGCTAATTTGTTTGTTCTCCAGGTATTATAGGCCTAAGTAAAAATGACACAATGAAGAAGTGAACAAAGGATCTGAAGTCCAGCTCAGCAAGAACAAGAATCTGAGGAAAAATCTGTCAAAAGTGAATCAAAAGTCTGTAATACTGAAGCTGTAACATCAAGAAATGATTCTTATGTTCACCAGGACTGCGATAAACCCAGCTCTTGTGCTGTTTATGGGTAACTTGCTGAACTGTACAGCCAGTCATGTTATGAAATCGTCCTCATTGGGCTTTTCTGTTTGACAAATGGGAATTACAGTCAGGGAGAAATAACAGCAGAAATGTTCTTTCACTTATTGAGCGATTAGTAGCAAACAAAAACATATGCAAACATTTTCCTGTTGTTCCGTCACATTAAGAGCTCTTCTGAGAATACCGGCGTGTTTCTGTGACAGCTGCTTCGTGAGGAAGAGAATACCCTACGGATAAACAAGACAAATGTGCTTCATCATGAAGAACACATTACATTACTTCTGCTGCTCTCTGTTCATCAGTTTTCTGTTTCTCCCTCTTTTTCTTTCCCTCGCTCTCATATAAATGCTGAGAAAGGTGAACATCCCTCAGCGAGCAGAAACTGCACCCTAATAAAAATAAAAGATCTTCAGTCCTTCTTAGCAGCACCTATGGTTCACAGAACCTTCTTCGTGTCAGAAGCCATTTTTGGTTTCCTCTGGTTTTTCTGAAGAACCAGAACTCTACAGTTCTAGAAGAACACTATTGGGTTCCCATGAGGCCACAGGAGAACCGTTTTAACTTCTCATGATGTCTGAAGACATATAAGGTTCTTCTAAGCAGGCTTGTGTCCATTCAGGATTGCATTTAAAAATATATAAACTATTAGATTAGAATGCTGTACATTAACTCGATGAATTTAGATTAGGATGGATGGACAGACAAACAGATGGATGAATAGATAGATGTGTGTGTGTGTGTGTGTGTGTGTGTGTGTGTGTGTGTGTGTGTGTGTGTGTGTGTGTGTGTGACTCACGGAGTGGTGCTGCTCTGCACCTCCACAGCCTCCATTGCACACTGCAGAGACATCTGGAGCGACAGCAGCTGACTGGACGTCTCCCTCAACATGAAACGGGTCACAAACTGCCCCAGAACCGACGAGCCCTGGTACTCCTGCACGGGAAACACTCATCATCATGCTGAATTAAGTCACATTTACCCTTTCCGTACCCGCTGCATCAGTCGGTAAATGTCTTTTACAGCCGTCTTTATTTAAAATCCTGCAGTGTTTCCATCATCAATGCAGAATAACACAGCAAACATGATTAAGCTGCTGCTGATGAAGGACACCAGCCACTGACTTTAGTGTGCTCTCAGGAAACTTGACAAGTAACAACCTTAATTTTGTTTTCAGACACCGGCCTGAAAACAAACTTAAGGCCCATTTTATCCTGAACGCACAGAGATGAACATGTGTCGGATATAATTACTGCCCTCGACACCGTGTAGAGAGTACTGAGAGAAGCAGGATCTCCATTACAGAGAACATCGGTCAAACCTAAAGATCAGGGCTGGCACACAGAGATAGTAGAGTGGACATCTGCTGAGTCTTACTGTTTGCACTTTCTTGGTTTGCACTTAGTTTAAGTGTGCGCTTAAGTCACACTTAAAAATGTTTGCCTGTCATTGCATTATATTACAAAATATTAAAGCTTTGTCATTTACAAAGTATCAAATATGGTGCACAGCAACAGAACAGACCTGCTGTTATTGTTATTTTGGTATTATTTATATACTATTATAGTTTTTATAAATATTTTGAATATTTTGTAATATTATAGCTTTTTAATTTTATTGTAATTTTAGTGTTTTTTCTTAGTATTTTTCCACTTTTGTCATTATTATTTAAATATTACTATTAAGGTTTAATTTATTTTATTTATTTCAGTTTTAGTTTTTATTTATTTATAGTTAGTAACTAAGTAAGTTATTTGAAAAGGCAACATTTTTAAATTTGTGTTTAGTTTTTCCATCTAATATTTATATTTTATTTTATTGCAGCTTTAGTTCAAATAACACAAATGTTTTAATAGTTTTAGTTAACAATAAACCTTGGTGTTATATGTTGAATTAGCTTTTAATTTGATATTTTCAGTTTTAATTTTATTTAAATTTTAGTTTTTTAAATAATTTTGTTATGTGCTTTTGTCATCATCATTATCATTTAAATATCATTATTAAGGTTTAATTTATTTATTTCAGTTTTAGTTTATTTTTTTCATTTAGTTTTTCCATCTGATATTTATATTTCATTTTATTGCAACTTTATTTCAAAAATATTCCAAAAATCTTTTACTACTTTTAGTTAATAATACGCCTTGCTGTTATATGATTTGATCTCATTCTGATCCTAGTTTACCTCCTTCGTCTTGTCCATGGCCTTTAGGACGGCGACATTGAGTTTCTCTAACGCTGACAGAACGTCCAGGTATTCTCCAAGATGCTGGGAAAAGTAATCTGAATCGAGAAAGAAGGTGAATTATAGGTCAGAAACCAAATATGAGTCCTATACTTTCTCCAGTGGATTTTCCGGTGTGCATTTGTGCATGTTTTAAACAAATATTACCTACAACCTATCACCAGACCGTCCTCCACACATACACACACACACACACACACACACACACAGACAGACACACACACACAGACACACACACACACTCGCACATGCACGCACGCACGCACACACACACACACACACACACACTCACACACACACACACACAGACAGACACACACACACAGACACACACACACACTCGCACATGCACGCACGCACGCACACACACACACACACACACACACTCACACACACACACACACAGACAGACACACACACACAGACACACACACACACTCGCACATGCACGCACGCACGCACACACACACACACACACACACAAACCCTCCCTCTTCACTTTCTCTTTTTCTCTTTTTCTCCGTCCTCCACACATACACACACACACACACACACACTCACACACACACACACACACACACACACACACACACACACACACACACACACACTCACACTCACACACACACTAACACTCAAACACTCAACCGTGAAATGCTATCAACGTTGGAACAAAAGCCACTTCTCACACACACTTCAGAGAGGAACAGGTCTGTTGTGGAAATGCTGACTGAGACAGAGGGAAGTGTGTGTGTGTGTGTGTGTGAGTCTGCGTGAGTCCTCTCTTGCTGTTCAACATATTGAAACTCTGACAGAGTTAATCTCCTCACTGTCAACTCCTATTATAACACCACTGAACAAAAATCCATCGGAAAATCCATAGCACCTTTGACATATCAGTTTTAGAGCACAGTTTTTAACATATTATATTATCCAAATCTGGCAGGCTGTTCAAGACGGATAATATGCACATCAGGGTACAGCAGCGGATGTTCAGATTATCAATATAGTTGAAAAGATGAGAATTAAAAGCAACATTAATTCAGTCAAAGAAGATATTAGCAGAATATGACCTTGCAAGCGAATAAAAAAAACACTTATCACACATTCCTAAAGGCAGGAAATCTGAAATGTTTGACCAAAGTGAGATCTTCAAGTAAAATTTGATTCGTTTTTTAATTATTGCCACTTGAAACACTTCTTCATTTTTTTATTTTCTTCCCAAAATGATAATTTAAAGGAATTATGCACACCTACCTGATAGTTTGTCTGTATCGAGGTTACTGGAAAGAGAAGAGGAGAGAGAATAAAATGAGTCATAAGAAGAAAAAAAGCTTTAATTGAATTGGAGAAGAGTCAAGGATTTGAAAGCGGTGTCATTAGCGAGGAGGATGTGTGGGCCGTCCACAGCTTCAACTGAATCTTAAAGTGTAAACAGTCCAATTATGCTTCGTTCTGTTAACATCGCAGGACTGAGGGGATATTTCTCAGCAGATGGTAACTCGCAGAGATGATGGGGTAAAACCAGTGTAACAAAAATATTCTGTACTTTAACACCTTATGACCTTTACAAACTCAGATTTACACTAAAGCAGTTTAAACCAATTTAATAAATCATGTGCAGATAGCTGGTTTCTACACCAGTAAAGTGTCTGCATAAGATCTATATTATGTTTATATTGTGTAAACGCTATTGTATAGCATAGTGCCTGTCTTATAATGTGTATTGCAAACTGGTGATTTGTTGCTATTAATATATATATATATATACACACACAAACTGTATTTCTATATTTAAACTCTATGAATCTCCATAAAGCAAAGAATAACCACTTTTTCCCCCAGTTTTTGCACAGTGTGAACTGTCTGTATAATATTTATTTTATGTGCATAAACTTATTGCATGTTTTAAAATATATCATATTTAATATTAAATATAAAAGTTGAAAAATACACATTGCATCATGTTTCTTTTAACTGCCCCATAAGATACGTCCTGAATTCACATAATGAATATGAGATACAAAAATATCCTGAATGAAAAATAATATGCAGATTAACTACATATTTCTTAATGATATTATTTGCATATTATTAATAACGTAACTAGATATAAATAAAATCTAAGAAAATATGTAAATAATAAAAACCCAAATATGATAATCTCCATAAAGCATCAGCAATTAATATAATATAATAATATATTTTAAAATATAATATTAATATTAAATCTAGAAGCTGAAAAATACACATTGCATCATGTTTTTTAATTAAAATTTTTATTTTTTATTTAATCATTTTTATTTAAATTTTATATATAATATTTTTAAATATATCACATTTAATATTAAATATAAAAGTTGAAAAATACACATTGCATCATGTTTTTTTATTTTATTTTATATTTTTATTTTATTTATTTACAATTTATATATAATATAAAATAATATTTAAAAATATATCACATTTAATATTAAATATAAAAGTTGAAAAACACACATTGCATGTTTATTTCTTTATATTTTTTATTTTTAAAAATTATTTTAATTTTATATTTAATATAATATATTTTAAAATAAACCACATTTAATATTAAATATAAAAGTAAAAAAATACACATTGCATCATTAAGATACACATTGCCCCCATAAGATAAGTCCTAAATTCACATTATAAATATGATATACAAAAATATCATAATAATATAATATAATATAATATAATTAGCAGTGAAAAATACACTTTTTTTGGACAATTATCACTTAAGAAGGTTGTGAAGTCCTTCATTAACATTATAAAATATGACACAAAAATATCCTGACCTCCAAATCAGAGATGCAGATAATCACTGTGAGTTATTAGTATGAAGGAAAGATGCCAAAGAATAAAGCCTTGCACAATCACACCATCCCACACCTTCTGGATTGTTCATTTTCATGCTGAACTTCACATTCATATTCTCATGCAGATGAGAACAACTCTAAATACACCAGTGTGTGCTGTCACATTAAATCGCCATCACAGCCAAAGCACAATTATGTAAACAGAGCCTCGGGCTCCATAATTTGGCTGGATTTGCTTTGAGTGCTCCCTGATAGCATTAATGCACTTTTAATATTTCAGTGAGACTGAGGGATGGAAAGGAGAAAAGGGACTAGTTGAATTAATTGGCTAATTAAATTGCAAGGACAAGAGTGTCAAAACTGATGTCTGCTAACATACAGATGATATATATTGACAATCAATATATTATTATATATATATTATATAATTTAGAACAATATGGGTGAATTCAGGTAAATTGGGACACTTTTTGCCATTGACATGCCTGAGAAAATATAATATATTGTGTTATTATATTACAATATATTAAATAATACATAAGGAATTGCCATTTTTCATATATTAAAAAATGTGAAAATATATTTGCTTATACTGTATGTAATTTTATATTCAATAATACACTATAATATGTACATGGGATACAATATGGTAATGTGTGTATAAATATATTTTAACATATATTCACCATTAAATAGGAATATGTATGGGCAATATAAGCATGTACACAATTTTTGCTATATATATATTTTATACGCATTTATAGCCAAATATGGCCCATGCATAAATTGCAGTATACTGAAAAATCTAAGCGCTAATTTTGTATATATGGAAATTTGATAGTTTTATTTCTTTGGAATAATGTCTAAAGAGCAAGCGTCTTTGCTTGTGCGTCGTACTCTCCTGAACGCACTGCGAAGACTGACATGGAGGAGAAGTAATCGTTGAATAAAGTCGTTGTTTTTATTTTCTTTGCGCACAAAAAGTATTCTCGTAGCTTCATAACATTACGGTTGAAGCACTGATGTCGCACGGACTATTTTAACGATGCTCGAGGCAGCAAGCCTTTCTGGGCCTGGGGACGTTTCAGTTGCGCTGCTGTCTAATGGAGGGTCAGAAAGCTCTCGGATTTCGTCCAAATTATCTTATTTTGTGTTTCGAAGATGAACGGAGGTCTTACGGGTTTGGACGACATGAGGTTGAGTAATTAATGACTGAATTTTCATTTTTAGGTGAACTAACTCTTTAAAAACACTAACTTGATGAGATTCATACTTGGCTTTAATAAATAGTATATTGATTACATTGTTATATATAATTAATTTTTTTTCTGACAGTGTAATGTTTATTTAACCAAGAAAATGTGACTGGGACATGAATTTACATTTGATTAAGAAACACACACACACACACACACACATATATATATATATATATATATATATATATTACTTATATATGAAACTTAATTAAAACAATATGAACTGTAATACATTTTCTAAAAACATGTCTATTATATTTACTCATATAAACATGTATCGACGGGCTTTAGGATGGATGTACGTATTTGTATGGGCTAGATATATGTTAACAAATGAAATTGTTCCCGTTTCTAGTAGGTTTCATATGCCTTTACTTCACATGAATATATTTCATAAATGGAAATTTTATATGTACATACATTACATTTGTATATGGGTTACATGGGTAAAATCTCACAATCTTTAGATTTAAAGTTTCTAAAAGTACGCTTGAGACTAATTTGTCTAACTCGTGTCCACTAACACAAATTCCAGCAGGTGCATTTATCTGTGGTATAAAGGAAAATGAAAGGACGGGAGCTGTTTAAAGAGATTCGAGATGCATGCTTTGAATGGAGCAGACCTATTTTAGACTCCTTCTAGATGAACTCTTCTAGACTAATTTACTCTGGGCATCTGAATGCAGTAATTACGCAGTGACCATTATGACTGATTGCAGAACTATGCTCCACTTTCAGAGGAAAATCTAAGCTTGAAACTTTCTGTGTGCATGTGCGTGTGTGCATGTGTGTGTGTGCGTGTGTGCATGTGCGTGAGTGTGCGTGAGTGTGTGTGCGTGAGTGTGTGTGCGTGTGCATGTGTGTGTGTGCATGTGTGTGTGTCTGTGCATGTGCGTGAGTGTGCGTGTGTGTGTGCGTGAGTGTGCGTGAGTGTGTGTGCGTGAGTGTGTGTGCGTGTGCATGTGTGTGCGTGCATGTGTGAACTTTCTGTGTGCATGTGCGTGTGTGCATGTGTGTGTGTGCGTGTGTGCATGTGCGTGAGTGTGCGTGTGTGTGTGCGTGAGTGTGTGTGCGTGAGTGTGTGTGCATGTGTGTGTGTGTGTGCATGAGTGTATGTGTGTGTGTGTGCGTGTGTGTGTGCATGTGTGTGTGTGTGTGTGTGTGTGTGTGTGCGTGAGTGTGTGTGCGTG